TCTCGTTTAACATCATTATATGTGGTGGTTGGTCCATCTATCCGATTCTGATAAAGGTTTGAGTGATTTATTAGTGCGTGGTCCGCGAGCTCACATTTTCTCCAGCAAAAAGATGAATGTATTAAGATATAATCAATGCCGTAAAATGAAACTTTACAAGATAAATACAAGGTAGTCTAACTAGACAAAACTTTTTGATGTATTAGGTTAAGACGCGAACATATTAACATTACGCGAGAGGTAGTTGCCTAAGTTATATACTACAGTATAGGATACTGTATGTAAGTTTCGACCATATATTTTTACGTTTTAAATTTTTGAGTCAGTGCACAGCCATTGTATAAAGTGTACAAAACCTATTTTAAGTGTTTATTTTTAAAAGTGGCCCTAATAAGTGGCCGTGAAACGGTGCTATTGAGAAGTTTATTTATTTATTTATTTTGTAATTTTATTGCTATGTAATTTTAATTGAATAATTTCTTAAATAGGCTGTGCACTAGACTATTTTTACCATACAGTCTCATGGTTATTATCAAAATTGGGAGGTGCTGGCTACAGATTACCCATAATGTCAAAAAAGACTCCATATTGTATATATCCCTATGCCCCCCGCCCCGTGTTATTTATTATCTATCTTTTTTATTCCTGTATATATAAACTAGTATCCTTAATACTAGTAAACGTGAACCCGTGCCCCCATATGGAGCAATATGTTTATCACGGGTTCACTCAAGCATGAGATTTTCTTAAATATGTTACATAAAGACTATCTCATCACATTATGGGTAACCAAGTTATTATTATTAGCCATATTTGGGACTTAGATTTTCTTTCTTATTCTTCTATGAATTGTTTAAGTAATAGAAGATTAATTATTATGTGTGATATCTAGATGCATAATAATTTATAGACCATGAGACAGTGATAAATAGATAAGGCCGTTTCCACCACATTTTAACTATCATATTTGTTTTAATTTTGAAATAAAGTTGGTAAAAACACGTATACATTGGATGCAACAGGCACCCGCAAAATTTCCATCCAGTCCGCGCGACAAACTTGTCGAAATAGGTCAATACAAAACTTGCAGAATTTTCAAGAAAATCGGATTGACCTCCTTATTTTGTAAACAGAGAATTTTCGGCCAATGAGAACAAAGGAGGCAATCCTCTCTAAACCAATCAAAATTAACTTTATAAAGCGGGTGTTCGGTAAAACTTACAAAATTTACAAAATTTTAAAACAAACTCTGCTAATTACAAACATGTAATTAATAATATGCATCCCAATGTATACGGTTTATAACATGTAAATAGAAACCAACATATATAATAGACAGCCCACATTGAATTGGTCAGAAAACGTTCCTGACATGCCTTCTTCGCAAGTATGCGAACTCTACAATTACAGGTAATATTTTAAAATTTTTTAGTTATACCAAATATTAGATAGACCTGTTATAAAAGACGGTAACTACTATAAACGTCTTGGCCAATTTTAAAATAAGTGCTTTTTAATAATTTAATTTTAGAATTCTTAATCTTAGTATGGGATTGCCCCATCTTCCTCCCATGGCAGAGGTTGTACGTAGAGACTACCCTGTCATGGGGGATATGGTATGCACATAAACACATGTACGGATATAACAATAAGTAATTAAACATCAGCTCCCCCTTTTTAAAAGGTTATAAATGAAGTATATGCTCGCCCATATGGTCTCTTTCCGGTGGCGAGGGTAAACAAACCCAAACACACACACACATCTTGTTAGTGCCATGTCTGCAGCTTGACAGGCAACACATAATTTGCTTATTTTTTATTTAATCATTTAATGCCAGGTGTGTATTCACATAATTGGCAAGTCATTTTAAAATGCCAGGCTGTTTGATGATTCAACCATTAATCCCTAAAAAATGAAACACAATGATTGGCATCTGGCACATGCTATTTTATTATTGAATAAGAGTGATTTTTATGCAGTAATTTTCTAATATTTTTCTCCTGTCTGCAATTAATGCCTGACATAACTGTATTGGTCCAGTATTTTAAAATGAATTGCAGGATATGGTGTTTCATTAAGTTTAAAATGAATTAAAAAACAATATCTAAGGCAAAACTGCACTTTTTTTCCAATTAATCACACAAAATATATTTGACAACACTCTTAATACTGGATTACTCATAATGTAACACATTTTTTTACAGAATTTAATAGTGTGAGAAATTTTATATATTTTTTTTTTCAAATTATGCCTTTACATTTGGTCTTCCCTAATAGTTTTTAAACAATATAATGCAGGAAATTAAGCGCTTAATTTCAAAATTTTCAGGGGGAGCATGCCCCCGGACCCCCTAGGAGGCCTGCTAGAATACAAATTTGGCCAGCTGAGCTGAAAGTTATTGAGAACCCTGAGATATGGTACTGATCACTCCTGTAAAGTTTGGTTGAAATCCCACCAGTAGTTTGACCTGTGAAGGCCAGACAAGATTTTTCTTATTTTAGCTCTGGCGGCCATTTTGTACAGCTTAGCGGAACAGGCTGGTGATGTACACAACTAGGGATGTTACTGATCACTCCTGTGAAGTTTGGTTGAAATCCCACCAGTAGTTTGACCTGTGAAGGCCGAAAAAGATTTTTCTATTTTAGCACTGGTGGCCATTTTGTGCAGTGAAACTAGGGATGCTGTAAATATTGGCTGAAATCCAACCAGTAATTTGACCTGTGAAGGCCAAACAAGATTTTCCTATTTTTGAGCCCTGGCCGCCATTTTATGCAGCGAAGGGGAACATGCCGGTGATGTGCACAACTAGGGATGGTACTGATCACTCCTGTAAAGTTTGGTTGAAATCCCACGAGTAGTTTGACCTGTGAAGGCCGGACAAGATTTTTCTATTTTTAGCTCTGACGGCCATTTTGTGCAGCAAAGCGAAACGTGTAGGTGATGTGCACAACTAGGGATGGAACAGATTACTCCTGGAAAGTTTGGTTGAAATCCCACCAGTAGTTTAACCTGTGAAGTCCGGACAAAAAAATTCTATTTTTAGCTCTGGCGGCCATTTTGTGCAGCCAAGCTGAACATGCTGGTAACATACACAACTAGAAATGGTACTGATCACTTCTGTAAAGTTTGGTTGAAATCCAACCAGTTATTTGACCTGTGAAGGCTGGACAAGCTTAATGCAAACGGACGGACAACTGGACGTGCATTCTAATGGACGGAAGTTCTAACACGAGACAGTAATTATGTGGCTACTCTATTGTTCTCTCTATTGTTCTTTTTAGCCACACAAAAAAAAATAGCCACATAAAAGCATTATGGAATGAGTAACATCAAAGAGAAAGAACAGTTACCTATTGTCTCTCTAGTCACATTATTACTGTCCCGTGAGAGCAGACAAACAGATGGACGGACGGATGGCAAAGGCAAAAAGAATATGTCTCCAAAAATTTTGGGAGACACAATTACAAAGTTATAGCCACTTTAAGCAAAAATCACTGAAAAACAAGCAAAATTTAGAAATATAACCTTGAAGGTCAAGGCTATTTATGGATAAAGGTCAAGGATAGTCTGGTCTACCACAAGGGTTGTTGTGGCCAAGTATGAAGACAATACACCAAGAACTTATGATCCACATGCAAGTTTGCGGACTCAATGGCAGCGCCCACATGACTGTAACGATACCTCTACTTTTTTTTTTAAAAGTCGATCTAAAACGATGTGCATAATCTCTAGACTGCCATCTACATAAATTTTGAGTTTCATAAAAATATTTTCAGTACTTTGTCCATATTTCAAGTTTCATAAACATATTTTCATTACCTTTTGCGTTATCATGGGATCAAGTTTTGTAAGCAGACAGAAAGACGGACAGAGGGTTAACCTAAAGTCCTCTCTGGTTAAACTGGTAAGTTTATTTATTGCCATAGCAACCAAATTTTTCAACATAGGGAGAAAGTTAGACAAGAGCGATCAGTGATCACATGTGTCGCCTCATGATGGCCAATTTCATGTTGGGACAAGTTTTGTGACAGACGGACAGACAGACGGACAGTGCACAACTAGATTTGGTACTGATCATTCCTGTAAAGTTCGGAGGATAAAATTGCACCAGTAGTTTATGTGAAGTAGTCCGGACAAGCTTTTGTGTATCTGGCAACACACAGAAAAAAACACCTTTTTATCAAAGGGCCATAACTCGGCCAAAAATCATTCAACCGGAAAACCCGTACAATATGCGCAAGGACTTGAGCTACAGATCAATCCTGTAAAATTTCATTGAAATTGCATTAGTGGTATAAGAGAAGTAGTCCGGACAAACTTTAAAAATAAAAATTATTAAAGGGCTATAACTCTGACAAAAATCATTGAACCATAAAATGCTGACAATATGCACAACTAGACTTGGTACTGATCATTCCTGTAAAGTTTGGATAAAATTGCACCAGTAGTTTATGAGAAGTAGTCCCGACAAGCTTTTGTGTATCTGGCAACACACAGAAAAAACCCCTTTTTAATAAAGGGCCATAACTCGGCCAAAAATCATTCAACCGGAAAACCCATGCAATATGCGCAAGGACTTGAGCTACAGATCAATCCTGTAAAGTTTCATTGAAATTGCATTAGTGGTATAAGAGAAGTAGTCCGGACAAACTTTAAAAATTAAAATTTTGAAAGGGCCATAACTCTTACAAAAATTATTGAACCGGAAAATGCTGACAATATGCACAACTAGACTTGGTACTGATCATTCCTGTAAAGTTTGTGTGAAATTGCACAAGTAGTTTATGAGGAGTAGTCCAGACAAGTTTTGTGACGGACGGACAGATGGACAGACAGACAGACGACGGAGAAGTGATCCCTATATGTCGCCACTACTCCGTAGAGGCGACACAAAAAAGACGTGCAAAATCTCCAGACTGCCATCTACATTTAATTATTTAAGCTAAATATTATATCATATCTCTGTTAACATTATTTTTAACATTAAAAGGAACTCACATGTACGAATGCATAAGAACTACAGCAAGACTTGTGATTCCTTTATTAAGCAATTTCTGCAAATCTTCCTTTAACATGACCTCATTAATACCTGTCCAAACTTCCAGCTGAAAATTCAACATATATTTAATTCATAATAGTTAACAAGCAATTATCATAGTATTCCAAGCAATACATAAGTCCCCTACTGGTTAGATACAAGTCAAAAAATGGGCATAAATATGCTAAAAACAATCTGATTTATAGAACTTATGCAAAACATGTTAGATGATCACAGAGAAGAACAGTGTGAAGTTTCAATCCATTCCCATCAGTAACTATGGAGATACCATCTTACTAGCAAAAACTTAAACAAGAATTTCTAGTTGAACAAGAATTTGTAACAGAGTTACCAACGTCCCCCGCCTCAGGAAGTTTTATATAATGCATAAAATTGTGCTATTTCAAAAGATTGAGGTATGGATCTCAAGACTTTCAGTACAAAATAATGATCAATCCTAGATCTACAAATATAACAATAAATTTATTAAAGAAATAAAATGAAACACGGAATTAAACAAGAGCCACCGCCGGGCGGGGGCAACGCTAGACTTTTTACTTTTTCTAAAAGCAAACAAAGAAATGTTTGAACAAATCTAAACGTTTCCTTTTTATAAATTTAATCTGTCTGTCTTGTCACATTAGTTTTGTCTATATAATTTGTATATATAACAAGCAAATTCGTTGAATTTATAACCCCGCCGAGTACTGGTTATTACTAACACAACAACTGAAGACATAAGGCTTTATTTATATATTTATCATGGCATAAACAGTAATATTCTTTGAACTTGATAAATATTCAGGGCAATAACAGAGCCATACCTCTGTGTTAAATAGTAATATCTGGAAATGCCAATGAGATGTATGCATACTACATAACTAATCAAGGGCCATAAATCTGAGTTATAAGTATCTGACCAGAACAAGGCGACGATATGCGCATCTCCTCTTGGTATTGAAGGTTCCAATAAAGTTTCATTGAATTCCGGCCAGTAGTTGCAGAGAAGTAGCGCAGAAACGAATATTTTTCTATATGCATACTGCATAACTAATCAAGGGCCATTACTCTGAGTTAAAATGTCTGACCCCAACAAGGCAATGATATTCGCATCTTCTCTTGGTATTGAAGGTTCCATGGTGACCATGGTATGAAGTTGTATTGAATTCCAACCATTAGTCTTAAAGTTATGCTCTTGACAAAAAAAACCAATGGAAAAGTAACAAAGGGCAATAACTCTGTAATTAGTCAAGATGGAGTTATGGTTCTTGTGCACTGCACTTCCTCTCAATGTGCTTGACCATTGTATGAAGTTGTACTGAATTCCAACCATTAGTCTTCAAGTTATACTCCACACAAAAGAAAATAATGGAAAAGTAACAAAGGGCAATAACTATGTAATTAGTCAAGATGGAGTTATGGTTCTTGTGCACTGCACTTCCTCTCAATGTGCTTGACCATAGTATGAAGTTGTATTGAATTCCAACCATTAATCTTCAAGTTATGCTCCAGACAAGGAAAATGCAACGGACCGCTGGCCCGACCAACAACCGGGTGACTCCTATCCCCCCCCCACAAACTTCGTTCCGGGGGTATAATAAATCAAATCTTTGCTGTGTTAAATTTTTTGAAGGCATTATAAACATAATCTAGCATGAAATGATAAAATAGTGACTTGTAAGACTTTAATTTTCATTCTTTTATACTATAACAACGGAATATTTGTGAAATTTCCAGTCATTATGGATGCATGACAGCTTGTCTTTGCCAAAATGCCTATGTTCTATGAGACACTAAAATATTTAGAATACAGTTAATCATGATCTACCTTTTCCTTTGTTTTGCCTTCAACAACAGGACAATGATTCATGAGCATTTCACATTGATCTTGTTGTAAGACTAATCTCTCATCAACCTCTATAACATCTTCATACAGCTGATCTGGACTTGATATTTCCTACAGAAATGCATAATGTTTGTTTAAACATACATATCTATTTTTTTATTACAAGTCTAAAGAAATACATGCTTATAAATTGATATGTCAAGCACTATATATTAATGTTTTTGTCAGTTAGTTTATCTCTGTAAATAACTTGTTAGTGCATAGATCTTTGAACAAAAAACTTGATATTCATGTACAATATTTTAGAGTATCAAATATTCAAGCCTTCTATAAAGTAAATGGCTGCTATGAAGTCACTGGATGATATAGAAACTAAGCTTTAGCTACTGTAGATTTAGAGAATTTACTAACTTACTAAGTTTTTAACATATACATGAAAAGAAAATCAATGTTCCCTGGGGCAGCGCCAATTTTGACCTGAGGGCTATTATTTGAAAAACAAGAGCCACTGCCAGGTGGCGAAAAGGCTCTACTTTTTACTTTTTCTAAAAGCAAACAAAGAAACACTTCAACAAATCTTAATGTTTCCTTTTTATAATTTTAATAGGTCTGTCTTGTCACATTAGTTTTGTCAAAGTATGAATCCTTTCCATATATATCCGCATGTGTCTCACAGAAGAAAAACAAGATTGAGAAAAATGCTATGCCACAGCATTAATACAACACTAAATAGTAGTGTAGGAACAGATTTTTTTGTTTCTATACAATTTTGAAGATTGTCATAAAGCATAGATCCCTGACCTATCTTATTCTTATTATCAGATTAGTGGTTAAATCTGTTGTTAACTCAATAAAGATCGGAGTAGGAATATATCAATGCACTCGAGTCTAGTGAATTTGGTGGTGAAGGTCATATTTCACACAGCCTAAATTTCATGACTACTCAAAAGGACAACACAGTAAGACACTTTGTCAAAATCTAGGTCAGCTGAAATCAAAGTTCACTTTACATCTTAATCTGTGCTGATGGTTCAAATGTCATAGCTGTACATCAAAGGACAAGAAAGTAGGTCACATCAACAAAATCTAGGTCACCTGATATCAAAGTTCAATTTTACAACTAAAACTGTACACATGGTCAAAATTTCATTGCTGTACATCAAAGGACAAGAAAGTAGGTCACTTTCCCCTTGGGCAAGGCAAAATTTTGGACCCAAGGGTTTAATTCAAAACAATCTTGATACAGGTCCACCAAACAACATGTGTACATAATGAGAATCACTGCCCCCGGGCAGGGCCAATTTTGACACCAGGGGAAAAATTTGAACAACTTTAGAAGAGGACCTATAGATGATATTATATAGCAAACATCAAAGCTCTTTGCCTTGTACCATCAGACAAAAATATTTTTTTATTTTTTTACTATATGTACATAATGAAAATCAATGACCCCCTGGGCAAAACCAATTTTGACCCCAGGGCTATAATTTGAACAATCTTGGTAAAGGTTCACTTGCAAAGTCTCATGCCATATATTTAACCTCTAGCCTTTGTCAATTCAGAGAAGAAGATTTTTCAATTCAGAGAAGAAGATTTTTCAAGTTTTTACTTTATACATATAAGGAAAAATAACGCCTCTCAGGCAAGGCAATTTTAACACTAGGGGCATAATTAAATCAACTTTAGTAGAGGACCCATAGATGATATTATATACCAAGTATCAAAGCTCTTAGCCTTGTACCGCCAGACAAGCGGATTTTTTATTTTTTTACTATATGTACATAGTGAAAATCAATGACCCCTGGGGGTGGGGCCAATTTTGACCCCAGGGCTATAATTTGTACAATCTTGCTAGAGGTTCACTACATAATGTTTCATGCAAAATATCTTAACTCTAGTCTTTGTAAATTTAAAGAAGATGTTTTTTAAGATTTTACTATATACATATAAGGAAAACCTATGGCCCCCGGGGCGGGGCTAATTTTGACACTAGAGGCAAAATTTGAACAACTTTGGTAGAGTTCCTATAGATGATATCATTTAACAAATATTAAGCTCTAAGCCTTGTACCTTCAGACAATAAGATTTTTTACTATATATTATATTGAAAATCAAATACCCCCGGGGCAGGGGCAATTTTGACCCCAGGGCTATAATTTGAACAATCTTGCTAGAAGTTCACTTCACAATGTTTCATGCAAAATATCTAACCTCTAGCATTTGTCAATTGCTAGAAGAATTTTTTTTATGTCAATTGCTAGAAGAATTTTTTTAAAGTTTTTACTATAAGTTTTTACTATATACATAAAAGGAAAACCAATGATCCATCTTCCCCCAGGGTGGGGCCGATTTTGACCCCAGGGGTATAATTTGAACAATCTGGGTAGATGTCTACCAGACAATGCCTTATGCAAAATATATAAGCTCTAGGCCTTTTGGGTCTTTACAAGAAGGTATTTCAAGTTTTTACTATATGTACATATAGTGAAAATCAATGACCCCCGGGGCAGGCTGATTTTGACCCTTGGGCTATAATTTGAACAATCTTGGTAGAGGTCTACCAGACAATGCCTTATGCAAAATATCTTAGCTCTAGGCCTTTTGGGTCTTTACAAGAAGGTATTTTAAGTTTTTACTATATGTACATATAGTGAAAATCAATGACCCCCGGGGCAGGCTGATTTTGACCCTTGGGCTATAATTTGAACAATCTTGGTAGAGGTCTACCAGACAATGCCTTATGCAAAATATCTAAGCTCTAGGCCTTTTGGGTCTTTACAAGAAGGTATTTTAAGTTTTTACTTTATGTACATATAGTGAAAATCAATGACCCCCGGGGCGGGGCCGATTTTGACTCCAGGGCTATAATTTGAACAATCTTGGTAAGAGTCTGCCAGACAATGCCTTATGCAAAATATCTAAGCTCTAGGCCTCTTGGGTCTTTACAAGAAGGTATTTTAAGTCTTTACTATATGTACATATAGTGAAAATCAATGACCCCCAGGGCAGGCTGATTTTGACCCTTGGGCTATAATTTGAACAATCTTGGTAGAGGTCTACCAGACAATGCCTTATGCAAAATATCTAAGCTCTAGGCCTTTTGGGTCTTTACAAGAAGGTATTTTAAGTTTTTACTATATGTACATATAGTGAAAATCAATGACCCCGGGGGCTGGGCCGATTTTGACCCCAGGGCTATAATTTGAACAATTTTGGTAAGGGTCTGCCAGACAATGCCTTATGCAAAATATCTAAGCTCTAGGCCTCTTGGGTCTTTACAAGAAGGTATTTTAAGTTTTTACAATATGTACATATAGTGAAAATCAATGACCCCCGGGGCGGGGCCGATTTTGACCCTTGGGCTATAATTTGAACAATCTTGGTAGAGGTCTACCAGACAATGCCTTATGCAAAATATCTTAGCTCTAGGCCTTTTGGGTCTTTACAAGAAGGTATTTTAAGTTTTTACTATATGTACATATAGTGAAAATCAATGACCCCCGGGGCATACTGATTTTGACCCTTGGGCTATAATTTGAACAATCTTGGTAGAGGTCTGCCAGACAATGCCTTATGCAAAATATCTAAGCTCTAGGTCTTTTGGGTCTTTACAAGAAGGTATTTTAAGTTTTTACTTTATGTACATATAGTGAAAATCAATGACCCCCGGGGCGGGGCCGATTTTGACCCCAGGGCTATAATTTGAACAATCTTGGTAAGGGTCTGCCAGACAATGCCTTATGCAAAATATCTAAGCTCTAGACCTCTTGGGTCTTTACAAAAAGGTATTTTAAGTTTTTACTATATGTACATATAGTGAAAATCAATGACCCCCGGGGCAGGCTGATTTTGACCCTTGGGCTATAATTTGAACAATCTTGGTAGAGGTCTACCAGACAATGCCTTATGCAAAATATCTAAGCTCTAGGCCTTTTGGGTCTTTACAAGAAGGTATTTTAAGTTTTTACTATATGTACATATAGTGAAAATCAATGACCCTGGGGGCGGGGCCGATTTTGACCCCAGGGCTATAATTTGAACAATCTTGGTAAGGGTCTGCCAGACAATGCCTTATGCAAAATATCTAAGCTCTAGGCCTCTTGGGTCTTTACAAGAAGGTATTTTAAGTTTTTACTATATGTACATATAGTGAAAATCAATGACCCCAAGGGCGGGGCCGATTTTGACCCCAGGGCTATAATTTGAACAATCTTGGTAGAGGTCTACCAGACAATGCCTTATGCAAAATATCTAAGCTCTAGGCCTTTTGGGTGTTTACAAGAAGATTTTTTAAATTTATTCTTTTAATATCTTTTGGTTGCCATGGCAACCAGATTTCTGCATGGAATGAAATTCTTTGAACACCTTTGGAACCCCTTCACCCAAGGATCAATCCTGCCAAGTTTGGTTGAAATTGGACTAGTGGTTTTTCACAAGAAGATTTTTTTAAGTTCACTATACAATCTATATAACACACACACACACACAAACAAACACATGCGCACACACACATACACACAGGTGAATCGCTATATGCCACCGCATTGCAGATGCTGCGGTGGCATAAAAATATATATATATATAGATGTGTATAATTATATATAAATGCGTATATATATTTATAAATATATATATATTCAATGTTAACACAAAGCATTTTTATACAAAGTTCAAGGCACTGAAACTATTCAGTGTTACCTTTTGTAAATTAAATATTTCATATTTGTAACCAAAATGATGACTACATACATTTCCACAAAAGTAACTCAAATTGAAAATTCAAAATTTTTCCCAACATTCAAGAGAGATAACTTTGTCCAAAATCATTGAACCAAGACCAAATTCATTCTTGAACTGCTTTTTCCTAAGATGTATCTATATGTCAAATTTTAGTTGAATGTATGTATGTATGTTGTTAATGTTTAAGGGTCCATCTGCCCGTAAGGGCACAAAAAGCAGCTTTCGCTGTTGAGTAGTCGGACTCCTGACATGTCACCAGTCATGCCCTTAAAGTGTGTTATAATCCTAAGTGTTGACTTATTTGATTGAAATTCAGTAATTCACTGAATGAGCCCAAATAAAATGCAAATGTTTTTAGATTTATTAATGAA